AAGCGATGAATGATTCTTGAGCTCCTGGTCAAGAGCCTCCCATCATTTCAAGGGAATCCCACCCACCCATTTGGGGTCTCATTGGGTCAATATTATCTTTGGTGCAGATAGTAGTGTGTAAATTCTTTTGCTTCACTTATCTGATTATATACCTCTATACTCCCTTTTGTAAAGAAACTTCAGTAGTACAAAGTTCTCACCACTTATCAAAATAATAATATTCCTTGAGCTTGATAATGCATCTTAGGTGGGAGGCTAGCACAATAGCAATACCAGTTATGCACTTATTCTCTTGAAGTCATAAATTTACTGCTCCCTCATCCAGAAACTAATTGATCCTTATCTGAGAAATGTATGTGAATTTCATATCTGATACTTAAAAAAGAAAGCTACACTGCCCCCTATGAAGAAAATACAAATTTGTTACACAGTATGGTATCTGCCTTTTTGTTCTACCTTTATCTGATGAAAGTAAGAATTTTCTGTTCTGATATGGTATGTAATGAGCAGATACAGGAGGAAGAGAGATAAGTTGGTAGAGCGGGCTTCTGCTGCACCATTACCCCTAGCATGGGGAGCATTCATGGCCTACTGTTACAAGTCATTGCTGGATGGAATTGAGCATATTGCCATGGTTAAGGTATTTAAGATTCTGGAATTACTATGTCTGTTCTACATCTTTTATTGGACACACGTCATAATTTCCAACTTTAAATACAAGAGGCATAACTTACAATTTATGGTTAATCTATTTATGCTTGATTAGCTGTGATAACATTTTGTGATGTAAACAGGGTGAAATTGGGGATGGTCAAGATATTCTTGTTAGGGTGCACTCTGAATGCCTCACTGGAGATATATTTGGTTCAGCCAGATGTGACTGTGGGAATCAACTGGCACTAGCAATGCAGCAGATTGAGGCAGCTGGTAGGGGTGTATTAGTGTACCTTCGTGGACATGAGGGAAGGGGCATTGGTTTGGGCCACAAGCTTCGTGCATACAACCTACAGGATGATGGACGTGACACTGTAGAAGCTAATGAAGAGCTGGGGTTGCCTGTTGATTCACGAGAGTATGGTATTGGTGCACAGGTACTAAAGACTAAAAGCATATATGAAGATTTATAGTGTTGAAATTATCGAATGAACTGGTCCAATTTTTTTTAATTGTTTTCTCTATTTTGTTTTTTGGGGGCAGGGGTGGTCTTAGTTATTCAAATGACTACTTTATTTTTGTTTTAATTTTTTTTTTATTTTTATAGTTGACAATGTTTCAGCCAATGAATACCCTCCCTCCAACCCAACCACAAGAAGAGGAAATGGAAATTATAGTAGACAAATTTGTTAGCCACTACATATTTGGTGACCAAACCCATAGAGTGGACAAAAAGTGGAGCTTAACCAAATTGTTAAGATTCCGAAAGTTGAAGGATTCCCAAGTTCGTGGAGCGTAGCTGGTGTGGGGGTGTGTATTTGTCTGATTTTGAAATTAATTTCATAGTGAAGAGCATAAAATAATATTTGTATTATTTTCAAAATTTGGAGTATTAGTTTTTGACATTAAAGCCCAATTAACATTTTTTTTGGTAACCAACACTGAATTAATACCATGCTGATTGCAGATATTGCGAGATCTGGGTGTTCGTACCATGAAACTGATGACAAACAATCCTACAAAATATAGTGGACTCAAAGGCTATGGATTGGCAGTAGTAGGCAGGGTCCCATTGTTGACTCCAATAACAAGAGAAAACAAGAGGTATTTGGAGACTAAACGTTTGAAAATGGGGCATATTTACAACCATGAGTTCAATGATCACCTAAATGGACATATAGGTGGAAATGGAAAACCAGTCACCAGTGATACATCAAAGGATATAGCTGACACGTAAATGTTGTCACTGAAGGGGGCATAATGCTTGTGAATTTGGTGATCATCTCAATTTGAATGGACAATTCACTGACCAACATCCCATGGTTGCTTTCTCGGATGTGTGACCGAAGAGAATGCTGTTAGTGGCAGATAGAGGTGCAGATTTAAAGCATGACTTAGAATTTCATATTATCATTGTTCCACTCTCCAGACGAAACTCACTTGGCTGGTGTCCTATGGAGCAGAAGTTTGGACTGGGATATCAGTTATTCTTTTGGAACTTGTAAGTGTAAATCATATGGACTTTTATTTTTGGAATTCTGATCCATGTAATAGTATTCACTATTAGGCACAACTCTTGGAGAGGAAGCAACAGTCTGATAAAACATCACATCCACATTCTTTCAGTGGAATCCATACCTTGTGGACGAACGTAAAGAAAGAAATTTTTTGTTAAACTTTTACATGAATAAAGGGCAAGGGAACTGATTGTGATTTATTGCTTACCTTGTTTGTGTTATTACCAAAGTTCAGAATGCACCTACACCATCTTCACGTCTTTCAGCCTTTGGGCATTTAGGTCAACTAATAGTTATTTGTCTCGTCTCTCAATTAGCTCAACTAGTGCTACCAGTCCTCATGTAATGTAGTGGACCAATGCGTTAAAAAGGCCTTATGACTGGTGGACCTCAGACAGCTGCTATTGCACAAATCCTGTAATTCGAATCCAACAAACCGACGATCAATACAACATGAAATACTAGAATCGTTATCTATGCCCTTAGCCCTTAAATCATAATGCCTTTAATACCTGATAGTGCACAATCTGGCCGGTCTTAGCTGTCGATGATCTTGTCTCTGAACTGAGTAACAGGGACCTGAAACGGAAGGAGAAGAGAAGCTCCGGGGAGAACCCGGCGTAAGGGCTCCGAAGCTCAAGTTAGAATCCTTCAAAGGCAAGATAAACCAGATAGCGCGAAAG